GCAGTTGTCTAGGAAGGTCACTGGTGGGCGTAAGGGTGATGTTCCCAGTGGTCGTGCATGAGCGGTTGTGTAGGTCGACATGCCTGTGTGTGTGGTGCTGCAGTGGAGGAGGGTGTCCCATGGTGGTCGAGGTTGTGACCGTGTGGGTGGTGGTGGGTGCCGGGTGGTCCGCGCTTGTGCCCAGTGTACGTGTGCTGCTTGCAGATGAGGTGCTACCCTCAGTCTGCGTGGTCCCCAGACTGCTGGCAGACGAGGAAGGGGAGCCTGCAGATGTACCTGGGACACTGGTGGAGAGGGACGGAGTTGAGGGGTGCGTGCTCGTGAGCGTAGGTGACATGCGTAGTTGTGGCAGAGGTTGTGCTTGTTTCTGCATTGTGGGAGGTGGGTGCTGAAGAGGAGGGGAAGTGGGGAGGAGGACGTGCTGGAGGCAGTAATGTGAAGGTGAACTCGCTGGTGGTGGTCAAGGGGCCAGTGGTGCCCAGGGACGTGGGGTGGTGGTTGTCAGTGTTGTGGTTGGGATACGTGTATAATAGAAGACGGGGTGCGACTGTGGACGTCAGTCTGGTTCCAGAGGTAGGAGGCGAAGGTGTTGTGCAGCGTGGTTGTGCTTCCTGTGGATCGGGTGTTTGAAGACGTGGTCTCTGAAGTGGTGTATAGTATTGTGAGGGTGGGTCGTTACCGTGTCTGAGGTAGAAGTCGTCGCCATGTGAGGAGCTGAGGGAGTGGGGAAGTGACTGTGATGAGGTGGCAGGGGTTGAAGGTCAGTGGGAGTGGAGCTTTCACTTGTGGCCCGGGTGACAGTGGTAGTGGGAGATCTCGGGGTGGATGTGGTGTGGGGCGGAGCGGTGTGGTAAGCAGGGTGGGTGGAGGGGTAGTATGGTGGTGAAAGTGGGGGCAGGTTCTGTGGGTTAATGTGGAGGTGGACTCACTGGTGGTGGTCAAGGGGCCAGTGGTGCCCACCGACGTGGGGATCGTGGTTGTCAGTGTTGTGGTTGGGATACGTGTACTAATAGAAGACGGGGCTGTGACTGTGGATGTCAGTCTGGTTCCAGAGGTAGGGTGCAAAGGTGTTGCTGCAGCCGTGGTTGTGCTTCCTGTAGATCGGGTGTTTGAAGACGTGGTCTCTGTAGTGGTGTATGGTGTTGTGAGGGTGGGCATCGTTACCGTGTCTGAGGTAGAAGTCGTTGCCGTGTGAGGAGCTGAGGGAGTGGGGGAAGTGACTGTGATTGAGGTGGCAGGGGTTGAAGCGTCAGTGGGAGTGGAGCTTTCACTTGTGGCCCGGGTGACAGTGGTAGTGGGAGATCTTGGGGTGGATGTGGTGTGTGGCGGAAGCGGTGTGGTAAGCAGGGTGGGTGGAGGGGTAGGGATGGTGGTGAAAGTGGGGGCAGGTTCTGTGGTTGAGGCAGGTGGAAATGACTGATGCACACTCGTGGGTGATGTCTGGATGTTGGTTGTCGAAGACACGACATTCGTGGGTGTGATGGACGACGTGATAGGGGCAGGTGCAGTGGTGCCTGTGGTGGCAGTGTGTCTAGGAAGGTCACTGGTGGGCATAAGGGTGATGTTCCCAGTGGTCGTGGCATGAGCGGTAGTGTAGGTCGACATGCCTGTGTGTGTGGTGACTGCAGTGGAGGAGGGTGTTCCCGTGGTGGTCGAGGTTGTGACCGTGTGTGTAGTGGTGGGTGCCGGGGTGGTCCCCGCGCTTGTGCCCAGTGTACGTGTGCTGCTTGCAGACGAGGTGCTACCCTCAGTCTGCGTGGTCCCCGGACTGCTGGCAGACGAGGAAGGGGAGCCTGCAGATGTACCTGGGACACTGGTGGAGAGGGACGGAGTTGGAGGGGGATGCGTGCTCGTGAGCGTAGGTGACATGCTAGGTGTTGTGGCAGAGGTTGTGCTTGTTTCCGCATTGTGGGAGGTGGGTGCTGAAGAGGAGGGGAAGGTGGGGGAGGAGGACGTGCTGGAGGCAGTCAATGTGAAGGTGAACTCGCTGGTGGTGGTCAAGGGGCCAGTGGTGCCCAGGGACGTGGGGGTGGTGGTTGTCAGTGTTGTGGTTGGGATACGTGTACTAATAGAAGACGGGGCAGTGACTGTGGATGTCAGTCTGGTTCCAGAGGTAGGGTGCGAAGGTGTTGCTGCAGCCGTGGTTGTGCTTCCTGTGGATCGGGTGTTTGAAGACGTGGTCTCTGAGGTGGTGTATAGTATTGTGAGGGTGGGTGTCATTACCGTGTCTGAGGTAGAAGTCGTCGCTGTGTGAGGAGCTGAGGGAGTGGGGGAAGTGACTGTGATCGTTGTGGCAGGGGTTGAAGCGTCAGTGGGAGTGGAGCTTTCACTTGTGGCCCGGGTGACAGTGGTAGTGGGAGATCTCGGGGTGGATGTGGTGTGGGGCGGAAGCGGTGTGGTAAGCAGGGTGGGTGGAGGGGTAGTGATGGTGGTGAAAGTGGGGACAGGTTCTGTGGTTGAGGCAGGTGGAAATGACTGATGCACACTCGTGGGTGATGTCTGGATGTTGGTTGTCGCTGGGGTAGAGGTGGTGGATGTTGGAGAAGACACGACATTAGTGGGTGTGATGAATGACGTGATAGGGGGAGGTGCAGTGGTGCCTGTGGTGGCAGTGTGTCTAGGAAGGTCACTGGTGGGCGTAAGGGTGATGTTCCCAGTGGTCGTGGCATG